GCACTACATCTTTTCCTATGTGTCGCCCTCTAGTTTAAACAAATAAGTAGACCGCTTCTCATCTTTCTGTTTATGTGTGTATGTGAATCCCAGTAACTTTCGCCCTCTCTTATTCCCTTTCTAGGGTGGTTGCACAGTCCACCTCAAAGATAAAGGTTTATGTGTCCTTGAATACACAAATAATTTATAGTGCTGGACCTGGCAGCCTCTTGGTCCCTGGATTTTCTTCATCTCTAAGGCTTGCCACTCTACTGTTTCATTGTTATGTTTTAATCATGACTGGGTATTTTTCTCTCAGCCTTTGCATGTCCTCTTCACAGATTTCTATTGCTTCTGGTAGAAAGTTCCATTGGTTTAAAAACCTCTGCTGCATGTACTCTTGGCAGCCTAACCTTCCTCCTTTATAATTGTACCCAGCATGTCCCTGTGCTCCAGCAATTCTGGACTTACTGCAGCCCCCACAGGGGAGTGCTAATTGGTGCAGACCAATCGTGGTGGTCTCTTTTCCTTAATCCAGTGATTAGTGTGGGCATGAATGCGTGGCATGTCTGGCCAAGGAGATGTCAGAGACATCTGAGGAGAATGGAGATTGCCTGAAAGAGACACTTTGGAAGTTTGGGGGGAAATTTCCCCTGAGGATGTTCTTTCATCTTAAGGTGGGTGATATATTGAGAACAGGAAGAGAGCTAGTTTGAGCCAAAAACCCACACCCAGGGTCTGAGCCAAATGAGCCGCAGAGAAATGGGACTAGGGCTCTAATTATGTTGTTCCCTTGGTTGCTTAACCTTTGGATTTCTTGTTATTGGATTCAATAAACTGCCTTATTGGTTGAAGCCAATTTACATTGGGATTTTCTGATTTTTGCTACTGAAGACTATCATGATTATGAGCACTTCTTCTGTCACAGCAGCCCACCCTTTTTTGCATTGAGTTCGGGGCAGTGTAGAAGGACAAATGGTCCAACCTAGTTTTTTAAATGAAGATTTAGCAAGATGAATTAAAAAGTAGTAACCAACCTGAATTTCATAAGACAGTTATTAGAATTTTAAAGTTTTATAAACCTACATAATACATATAACTTGAGGACCATGTATGGTTGCTAGAAGTGATTGCATTACATTTTCTTTGTGATGATAGAATAGTGGGAAGAAATGAAATGATGAGCAGAGCCAAGCCCACCTTCCCTGTTGGAGGTGAGCCGAAAATAAGCCACCTATTTTGTAGAAATACAGAAACAAAAAGGCTTGTTGAGTGTTTACTGTATGCCAGAAACTGCTGAAAGCTAGTCATGAGTTTTCTAATTTAATCCTCACATCAGCTTTTAACAGTAGACACCCCACGAGGCTGTGAGTTCAACTTGCGTTGCAATTCAGCCAGTCACAGGATAAGATTCTGGGTTTGATTTTTTTTTTTTTTTTTTTTAGCAATATCAGCCTTGTGGCTACAGGAGACAAGGATCTTCCTCAGAGCACACATAGGAGATTTCAGATCATTTACGGAGCACATAACCCAGGAATTTAAATTCCTTGAGTTCATCATTTCCTTTCCCCACTTTGTCCAGTGACATGAGGAGCAATTAGCCGATCTCATTATGTTCATTAGTTTGCCAAAAGTGTTCAAAAGTATCACATACAAAGTCACCCAGCCCCCTTGCTTCTTACAAGAGGCTAATTAGGAGTACCCAGTAGCGATGTTGCTCATCTCTATTGCCAGGTCATGCCATAGACTATCAGTGTTCTCCTGATTACATAAGATAGATTTATTAGCATCTTTAAATATAATCAGATTAAAGAGACAATTCCAGAAACTCGAGAACCAATTCAGAAAACTCATTTTCAAAATTCTGTTTCTTTAGAACCATTCTTTGTATCAAAGTTCTCCAGAGAAACAGAACCAGCATGATGACATAAAGAGAGAGAAAGAAATTCATTATGGGAAATTGGTTCATGTGATTATGGAAGCTGAGAAGTCCCCAGATCTGCAGTCAGCAAGCTGCTGTAGTTTTGTGTGTAATTTAATGGTGGAATTTTAGTCTGAGTCTGAAGACCTGAGAACCACACGAGTTAATAGTGTGAATTCCATTCCGAAAGCATGCATGTTCTAGATCCAAGGAGAGTTGATGTTTCAGAGTGAGACAGAAGGCAGGAAAGACAGATGTCTTAGGACAAACAACCAGGCAGGAGGAGTTCCCTCTTTTTAAAGGAAGTTCAGCCTTTTTGTTCTATTCAGCTTTCCGTTGATTGGACGAGGGTCACTCACATTAGGGAGGACAATCTATTTCACTCAGTCTGCTGAATCTATGTTGATCTCATCCAATATCACCCTCACAGACATACCCAGATTAATATTTGACCAAATGTCTGGGCTGTCTATGGCTCCGTCAAGTTAATACCTAAAATTAACCATCGCAGCACAGGTAGTTGCTAAATTATTTCCATTTTACAGGTGAGTAAACCAAGCCTTGGCAGGCTTGATTTCCCTAAGCTCACACAAGTATAGATGAATTTACAATAGGATTGAATTTATAGTCTCCTTACAAAACTCATGTAACTGTTATTTCACCCACCTGACTGCAGTATGGACCCAGGTTGCAGTAGCTAGGAAGGCAATAATCCAATCTTCTCTCTTCTATTATATTACACTTTCCATGATAATTGAGGTTGGATGTGATAAGTGTCCCTACGATTTTTCAGTTTGGTTAGCTCAACGCATAATAGTAAAAGACAGGCTAGTCCAAAGACAGAGGGCCTTGCAGATACTTTAATTGATAACACTACATGCACAGAAAGAAAAATTCAGACCAAGCAGAGGTGTGTTCTGGCATCAGTGAGAAAGATTTGGTGAATGTCCACCACTGAGAAAAACTAGATCAGAGAAGAAAATCCACCCGTAGAGGGAATCTAATTGAGTCAACCACAGAAAATCCATCTTAGCCGTGGGACCTGGACCGTGCACAGGCTTTTTCCCACGGCCAATTCAAATAGCCATATATACTCTTCAACTTTATTTTTGAAATTCTGTGCTCACCAAGCAACTAACAAGTTAAGTAACAAAATGGTTCTCTAGACATCTCAATTATAAGACAGGGTATGGGTACGGGATAGCAAATTCTGAACACAAATTAGTGATGATTCCACCATCAATTAATAAATGCTTTTTAAGTTGATACATGGTATGATAAGGCTAATATTTGAAAATGTATTTACATGCTTTTCTCTTTGCATTTCTTTGCTCTGCTTTTCCTGGTTCTATCTGAAACCATGGGTAACGATTAGCCAAATGCATTTCACCTGCCTTCAGTAATCAAGGTCGTTTTAAGACTTGCACGTCCTCCAAGCAGCATGGTGCCTAAACACTAAGATGTTTGCCTGAGTTGTTGTCCAGAAACTTAGACTCAGCTGTGTCTAGTTTGAGTTGAGCTGATTAAGACCGGGGAGCACCGTCCCCCTCCAACGGGGCACATGCCTGTGTCCTCTCAGTGACCTTCTGAACGCGCAGAGGCCTGTAGCTTAGTTACACCTGTGCAGAACCACGATTATCGCACCTTTTCCCAATCACCTTTCCCCACGTTCCCCACACCTCAGACCGCCCTGCCTCCTTATTGGTTAGCCCAGAACTACCCCAGCCCCTTGTCTTCAGTGAGTCGGATTTGGGATTGGTTCTTCCGCTTTCCTGCTTGGCTGCGTTGCGAATAAGCCGCGTCTTTGCTGCAAGCGTTGGTGTCCCGGCAGTTTGGCTGTGCGTGGGGCGAGCTGAGCCAGCCAGGAGGTAAGTCCAGGGCGGCTTGTGCCTGTGATTCGTGGGCCCCTTGCCGGTCCTGAGAGCTTGGGCACAAGGCCAAGCAGCTGCCTGGTCCGTTTTTTCCAGGGACCATCCCCTGGATTTCCCTGGTGAGGTGTCACTCACCTTTGGTACTTAGTTTCATTTTGCAGCAAATAAACAAACAAACAAAAAATGGTTTTGGGGGATTGGGTTTGGAAGATGTGTTTTGGGTGAGTAACTGTTGCCGAAAGATTGGCCCCCGTCCCTGATAAGCCAAATAACTCAGAGAAAAGGTCTTGGAACTTAGAAGAAAAGGCAATTTTATTGCTTTGCCGGGCAAAGGGGACTCACAGCCGGCTAGTGCCTTCAAAACTGTGAACCCACCTTGGAGATGGGGTGGGGTGGTTATATAGCCATAGCTCAAACAATACAGCATCGATAACAATCAACAGAATCACTCTCTCATCAGAAGACAGAATGGAGTCATGATGCCTCCAGGCGACCAGTTAGCAGTTAGATTTCTTTATCTTGTAAGCACTCAAGGTGTGGTCTTCTTGGTAATTCAGGCTATTTTGTAAGCCAGTGGTCCTGTGACCTTCTCCTTGGAGATGAACCCAGAGACCAAGCATGACTATTAAGTTCAATTCCTGGAATAAAGTAGAAACAGTAAGATCAATAGCTTTAGTTTTAACAATGGGCCTGAAGCTGTGAGTAGCAACTGGTCAGTCAGGTCAGTTGACTGTTTTAAAGGCAAGCATAAGAATAAGCAACCTGTTAGCCCAAGTGCGGCCATTTTATTAATCCTCCTTCACAACCTCATTAAAGTGAACGCAATCCTGACCAAGTTGTGGGTTGGAGGCTCACGTGGTGGGATCTGGGCAGGCAATGTAAAAGGTCACGACTGTGGAGGCACTCGGTTAGAGGCTGGGGGCTTTGGGGGGCTTGTTTGTTCTGGTCTTGTTGGCCCATGTCTTTCCACGTCTGATTGTCTTAATTGTTAAGAACTGGCCGTTGGGGATTGAGTTTATTGGTGCGTGTAGCAAGGACCTGCAGAGAGATTTCATTGCTACAGCTTTCAGGAGTCAAAGCTCCTTCAAAATGGGAAATGCTAATTCAGTTCCCCCTCGTAGCCCTCCTGGCTGCATTGTCCAAACTGGGTGCCTTTCAGTTATAAGTCCATGGAAAAGAAAGAAACAAGTGTTATTTTTTTATTTCTTATTTTTGTAACACTGCATGGCCAGGAGATCTTTTAGACTCTGGAGCAAAATAGCCTAAAAATGAATCCTTAAGTTGCAATCCAATCTTGCAAGTAGATTTATTTTATAAACTAGAAGAAAAATGGGATGAAATACCTTTTGTACAATCTTTTGTGTTATTGTGTCAGAATAAACCTGTGCAAAGAAAATGTAAGATTATGGCCCAGCAGGAAGGGAAGGCAAAGAAACCTGTTTTACTTGATTCTAATAAAAAGGAGGCCTTGCTGTTAATTCAGTCTCAGGCTCTGCTCCTCCCCCACCCCCACAGCCAACACCTGAGCCACAGCCTCAGGCTCATCGCCAAACCCTTCCCCCAACCCCACCCGCCGCCAGTCTCTGAGGGTCGAGAAATAGGAGACAGAGGTGGTCTCCCCCTCTCATACCGGCCGGGGAGCTACCCAAACTCAGGTGGGGCAGTATTCCTTCAGGCAAGAGCCCACTGGGGGATTTAAATGCTGAAACTTGGGCAGCAATGGTATTGATCTGGGTCCACTCCCCCTTTTCAATTTCAAATTTACTTAATTGGAAGAATAATATGCCAATTTACAGAGATGACCCAAAGGGAATGGAAAACCTTTTTTTCTTCAGTTTCTTGCAGCCCACAACCCAACCTGGGCAGCTGATTGAGTTTATTAAATATCCTTATTTCACAAGACTGTCGGATGGTGCTGGATAAAGCCAGGGAGGAGGCAGGTGGGCTTCATGCAGAAACCCTGGCGGCCCGGTACAGGATGCCAAAAGTGTAGCTGGACCAACAGTGGATCCTAATTGGAATGTAATGCTGGGGAGAGGCCAAACCTTGAACCCTATCCAGGTCGCATTCTTAAGGGATTGTGAAGAAGGGCACCAGCACAAAGAAGCCTCAATAAAGAACAGGAGGTAAAGAGAAACCAAATGAAGATCCTTCAGAATTTCTAGAAAGGGTCGTTAGAGCACATAGGCATATGCAGATATAGACCCTGAGGCCCCAGAGAATTTAAAGATGGTGAATATGACTTTCATTGGTCAGAACTCCCCTGATACACAGAGGAAAGTGCTAAAAGGTGGGAGGGGCTTTAGGAATGCTGATGTCTCATCTTGTTGAAACTGCCTTCAAAATTTTTAATGGCAGAGACCAGACTCAGGAAAAAGGATCAACAGAGAATGAAACAGGCCACTCTGCTGGCAGCTGCCTTAACACAGGGGAGAGCTGGACCAAATTGAGGACCCCTACGAGGGACTCAGCAAAAGGTAGGAGGCCCCAGACTTCCACTTAAGTGGGTCACCCAATGTTGGGTGCCATTCTGGCTTTCTTTCAGTTCTACAGGTACATAAAGCACTTTCTTGCCCCAGGACATTTGTACATGTTGTTCCCTTGGCCTCATTCTTTTCCTACTTGGTCTAGTCACCTCCTACTCATTCTAATGTATACATCAGTTTTAAGAAGATATAGCACTCTGTCTTTCCCCATCTAAATCAGGTCTCCCTCCAAAGCACTAAGTGATTTGTGGTGGTTCTCGTTTTCTTCCACTTGACTCTAAATTCCCTGATGGGGGGAAGTAGGTCAATTTTGTGGCATATTCCCAGTTTTTAACATGAGTCTTGACACATAATAGATGCTCATTAAATTCTTAACAATTGTATGGCTCGATCTGGATCAAGAACTCGGATGCAAGCAAGAGATTTGGGGTTGATTACAAAATTCCTATCGTAGTAAGTGACAGGTTAGTTCCAGCACACATCTGGAATTCTGTAGGGCAAGAATGGTGCACCAGCCTTAACGTAACCTATTCCCTAAAACAGACTAGGGCAATGTGGTCTTTGTGTCTTCCTCCAAGTTTCTTAACATCCTTGAGAGGTGCTGGTAGTTGATGATAATAGGGAAATCAAGGGGCTTTTTGAAACAAAAATGGTACTCCTGGCTTTTCTGCTCTTTAAATCATTCGTGTTGCCTGCGCCTTCTTCTACGAGCGGGATTATGCCCGTTGGTGTTCTCTGATTCAGCACAGCTACATACGGCCTTCTGTCTGTCAGCCTCATAAGCAGATCTCTAGAACTTACCAAGAGAGGCACCCACGTGTTGTAACTGCCGAGTGCCATTTCCTCCGCCTTACTATTTCTGTAACTAAATACATTTCTTTTTCATCTACCTTTAGGCCTCATTCAAACTTCTCTTCATTTCCAAGTGAGCGATAGTTTCTTTCGGGCCAGTTAAGTGGAAGACTGGAATCAATCTGTTTGACGAACTGTTACTGTTTTGCTCCATCAGGTCCTGTTCTGGGTGAGGAATCAGAGAAATGAAAGGTGTCATAAACACCCTGAGGGGCTGATGGTCTCACAGGTTGCTATGACCGCGTATTTTATAAGCCCTTCTGTTGTGATAGTGACCATCTAAGTGATAGTCCTACTTAGACAGAGGGCTTTGTCCTTGGCAGGAGGCCCATGTAGAGGGGTCCCTAGTCCTGAGAAATGAATCCCGGATGGCAGGCTTAAGAGATCCACGTGAGGCCTGTGAAGTAACTTGGGGCTAAATAAGGAAACACACGAGGGTTGCCTTGTGCTGATGGAAAGAATCAGACCCTCAGTGATGTCGGGTGTGAGTCCAGAGATGGTGCTTAGTTCCAGGTGCCCAGTGTGGTGGTCCATGGAGCATCATTCACTGACTCATGTACCAGTAACTGCCCCCCATCCCCAAGGCCAGGAAATTGGGGTCTGTGGCCAGAGATCTCAGAACACTTTAAACAGGTACTTCCAGCTCCAAACCAGAGAGAAGAGTAGAAGGGTAACAATCACTCTGTGAACTCACATTCCTGGAAATACCACCTGGCAGTCAGACATGGAGATGATCTCCCATTGTGATGAGACACGGGTAATGTAAAATCAATACAGTCTGCCAGTGTTTTTCAGAATGTCTTATAAACAATGAAACAAAATTGAGCTCTCATTGCTGTTACAAAAGAATCATAAATATATATATATATATGTAGAAAATGGATCACTCGGAACTTGGGCAACATTATATGGGACGGGAAGGCTCTGAGCTTGCAAATTACTCCCTCTCATAAGCAGAATGCCTCGTTCTCATGATGTGCTTTTGTCACCTACACTGTCCTCTGAGGCTCCTAACGAGGTAGATGATGTTGGAAAACCCTCTGAAAAGATGTGGCTTGGCTTGGAGGTATCTTGATGGAGTGGAAAGAGTGGAATTTGGAGTCAGGCAGATTCTAATACTAGTCCTGGTGTGTATAGCAGTACCTTGGGACGGTCACAGCTTCTCTGGGCTCACTGTTTTGAGAGCAACAAATGGTGGATGTGAAAGCACATGGCCTGGTATCTGGGACCAGCGGAGCTTTCAACACGTTCCTTTCTTGCCCGCTTCCCCAACATTTAGTCAGACATCACTCAAACGACGTGTGTGAGTGTGTACATATGTAAGTGTAAGTAAGCTGATGCCAGAATGAGATGCGGGACTAGGGGAAGTTTTAGCAGTGGTAACTTTGGTTCCTAAAAATGCCTATTGGGCTGAAGACAAAGGGAGCTTGCTAGGCATCCAGAATGTGCTTCTGAGTGTCTTAATTTCAAGAATTCTTTTACAGTGCCTAAACACACTCTTCCTCTCTTTCTCTTTTTTTTTTCTTTCTCTTTTTCTCTCATGAAAGGACATGTCAATCATGCATCCATTGGGATTTCTCAGTGGCCATGGAAATGAAAAGGCTAAACATTTACTGAGGTCAAAGTCATTGTGACTCTTCAAATAACTTTGCCCAGCAAATGAAGCTTAAAACAAAGGACAATGAGCCAAAATACATTTTGTGATAACTTTTTTTCTTTAGAAAAAAAATATGTACAAAAAAAGCTAAGAAGAACCAACATGGAAGTGTCAAGAAAACATTCTGATAGGTACAGACAAGGGGGCTCCTTTTCTCAAAGGAGTTACACGTTAGTTATTACCATGCTAGAAAAATGAGATGCAAGTAAAATTCAAGAACAATTAAAAGCCAGAAAGTCAAGCTGTTGCTCGGGGCTCCGGGTTGTAGATGCTCATACCCTTTCTGTAAAATAATACTGTGCAAACTGTAAAATATTCATTTCATATAAAGTCCATACAATATGATATACAAAACTGAGTTGACAGGGGAAGCTGGTAGTGGCTTTTCTTTTTTTGCTTTTTCTTTTTGGAAAGAAGGCTTCAGGGTCATCTGCCAGCCCAAGGACGTGACTGCAGAAAGATCTTGAATTAAATGGGAGAGGCCATTATCTAAGACACACCCAGGATTCCCTGCCAATTGTTTGTGTAACCTAAGTGATTTTTATTAGTACATTAACTTAGAATGCAATCACATGTTAAGAGACCAGAACACAAAGTTCCTTTTCAAATCAGTATTTCTTTCTACACAGTTGATTTTGAGATTTACCATTAACCAACACTGCCGTCCCTGCAATTCAAAAGTTTCATTAAAATTCAAAAATTCCAGAGGAGGCAGCCACCGTGGTAATAAAAGATTAAAGTGAATTATTATATTAATTTTATTTCTGTGTCTATAAAACTGAAGAAAGAAGGCTGGTGTACAAATATCACAAAACAACATCAACCATTGAATAAATGCGGTTCTTCAATGCACACCTGAACAAGAAGAAAAATTTGTGTAAAATTCTGGCATAAATATATTAAAGCTGACCAAAAAAAAAAAAAAAAACCAAAATCAGGGCAAGCTACATCACTTCCTCATACAAAAAATGTACAAAACATTAGCCTCTAACTAGATAAACATAATACTTGTCTTCACAGTTTGACATCAAGTAACTGTGTGTCTTGAAGTATCGAATTGGAGGGTGATTAAAAAAAAACAAAACAAAACAGCTTGTGAGCCGTCAGCCGTCTCAGGTAACTTCGGTCATGGAGGCAGAGTGATTCTGCAGACATAAGCAGATAAAACGTTAGTCGGGGTGACTGACCGGTGCACTCTCTCCCCTGGATATCCCTTCCTTTCTTGTCTCACGTTCACACAGGCGCTTGCTTCTCCCTGATACTCTCCCAAGGCCCCTCAAACTGTTAGCTCTTGAATTCAACCTTCCTAATTTTTCAGCTACAGTAAGATCATCTGTCTTAGATTATCCTTAACTATACTCTATTAGGAACATTCAAAGATCTCAAAGTAACTTCAGCTGCATCCGCATCTTTTAAAAAAAATGTTGTGGCTTTAATATTGAACAGTTTTAATATTTGAAAAATTTCCGTATGATATATTCTGAGTGATTTTGGTTTAAGGTGTCTTTGAACTTCTAAAGAATGTGGTCTGTGTGATCTAGATTCTTCTTAAAACCTCTTGATCTGCTCTATAGTCTTGCACATGGTCTATTTTTAATGTTTCATGTTTTGAGGAGGATTATATATAATGTGGCTTAAATCAGCCTTATTAATCATCTGTATCTTTATTTTGTTTGCTTATTACTGAGAAGTGTTAAAATTTATGACCGCAGCTTTGTCCACTTTCCCTTGTGATTCTATCAACTTTGATGATGGGGCTTGTTCACAGAGTAGGACATGAGATTTATGTTATATTCTTGAGAACTCAACTATGAATTTTAGAAACTGAGAATTTTGTACCTCTAATTCGGGTTTCGGTTCTGGCTTGCATCTGTCCATCCATCTAACATTTATGTGACACTTAGTGAATCCCAGGGAATATGGAGAATAAAAAAGACATGGTTCATAGGGTTCTGATCCTCCACGATCTGTATCAAGGGGGAGGCGGGTGTCAGGGGACTCTATGGGCATTAACTCTGAGGAGCAGTCACGTGAGGGTGCTTTGGCCCAAGCTTGGAATTCTGGAAAGGCCTCAGATTTCATCCAGATGAAGTGATTCACATGGATATAAAGATACATGCACAGACTTGAAGTTCAACTACTGCCTGTAGTGAACAATAAATTGTATTAAAAAAAAACCTTTTATCTATATTGTCAACAGTAGGTTTTGAAACCCTGTTGGGCACTTCATTTTTCAATGTAAGTGGAGTCCCCATGGTCAACTATGAATGGTCCTGAGGGAAAGGAGAGAAGGCTGGAGAAGTCTCGACACAGAAGTGATGCTCGAGCAGTGTTGGGTAGAAGGGCGGAGTGGAGAGGGGGTGCTCGTAGACCAGGACGTTGAGGGCACAGTGGACAGCGAGTGTTTACAAGGACAGCCTGACATGTTTGTGGAACTCGGCAAACACTGCAGTTTGTCTTTTGACTTCACCTTTGTCGCTAG